GCCGCCCCTGCCGCTCGGCCGCCTCCGACGTCGGCCGCGAGGACTCCCCGGACGGCCACCCACCCATCCCGGCGGCGGGCGGCGGGCGCGCGGAGGGTCGACAGACGCGCAGCACCCTTCCCACCCACCCCCCACCGGCTCAGCCGCTCGTGACCGCCTGCGTGCCGGGGTTCGGAGCGGGACCGAGCGCCGCCCGGGGGAGCGATGCAAGTCTCCATAGCCTGCACAGAGCACAATTTGAAGAGTCGGAATGGGGAGGACCGGCTTCTGAGCAAGCAGAGCTCCGCTGCCCCCAGTGTGGTGAACGCCGCCCGGGCCAAATTCCGCACGGTCGCGATCATCGCGCGCAGCCTGGGGACCTTCACTCCCCAGCATCACATTTCTCTCAAAGAGTCCACCGCCAAGCAGACTGGCATGAAATATAGGTATGGACCTAAGGTTCCCTCTTCCCGATTGCCGCGTCCTTAACAGGTGCAGGGGAGGCAGTTGCTAGCCTAGGAAAGTGACATTCTTTGGTGGGTTGCTTAATTTAGAATTCTCAGGTGTTTCGAAAATAGCTCTTGAGGAAGGTGGAAAACCCCAGTTGGTGTGTGTCTCTTTTTATCGATATAGACACATGTATGTATGTAAATGTGTATATGTATATACATTCCACCCCCCTCAAGTTTAAAAAAACGTGGTCCATTTTGCATATTCTAAAGTGTCACGCACACTTGGGGAACTAGACACGTCCCAGTCTACAACTGCCCAGATACGGATAGTTAGATCGGGATAGTTAGTTGCTCAGCAGCAAATGTATTTGTCCTATTGGGTAGCACAGACCGTAGTTTCTGTGGTTATCCTGTCAAAAATAGTTTCTGATCTCTTCTTGCACCCTTATTTACTGCTTGGGAGACGGGAGTTCCCCAATGCTATCCAAAGCTTTGAAGCAAGTTTCGTTACATTGGAAGTCTCTACCATGGTGACAGTGGCATGCTTTAACTATAAAAGGGCTGATTGAAATAAGGTGCCGGCTTTCTTGTGACATACGGAGGAAAAGTCCGCTTTTGGAATCGTATTCGTTCTCTCATCTAGTTCTTAACCCCTTCTTCTTCTAGGTTGTTTCTCGCAGTTAATAGTCCACAGAGAACAGTCCAGTTAATAGATGATGCGGTCTCTAATTGAGAATGGCTTCAACCTGATAAGGAGAAAATATCATTATTCAATTGTGTGGCTCCTGCCGCATCATTAAATCTACTGGAGATCGAGTCTTCCTGACTGTATGTAGCTTTAAAGCTACTGTGTCAGGGAAGGTAGAGGAGAGATGCTAACGATGCATCCTCCAAAGGTTTTGCTCATAGGATTTTGCCCAGTACGTACATTTAACCATCTGTTATCTTCACTAGGGACCAGGTTTCTGGGGGTAAGGCACTTAAGACAAATACGAACATGTACACCGCTGACTGTGGTGGCTCTGTGGGGTTTCTGAATTCAGCATTTAAGCCAATGTCTATTAAAGTTGCCCTTGAAGAAAAGTTTTTTTGTAGACTCTTGGGAAAGTTTCCCATTGCCAGAAAAAAAAAAAAACCAAGTTCAGCATTATTGTTTTGATGTATGTTTGAACCATGAAGAAAGCCAGCCCTTGAGTGGGTAAGAACAGAACAAAATATATAGCCAAAGTCCTTTGCTCCAACTGCAATAATAGTTCAAGCAACCTGAGTCCAGTCAACTCACTGAGTCTCAGCAGTGTGAGTGCCACTGCTTTTCCTGGTAGTTGTGTGATGGAGATTGGGACCACACACTGACGGCTCTCTAAATGAGACTGCAGTCTCAAGAACATTGGCATTTTCTACTGCTAGTGCTGTGGCACACACCCAGCTCCTGCCCGTGGACACTGCGCTGCGCTCTGCAGGTGATGGAGATGTGCTGCCATCTGCCTGAGCAGGTCCCCCAGGAATGGGACACTGTGGTATTAAGACAGATGACAGAGGGGGCTTGGATTGTGTCCCTGACATTTTAGCAACACGCTGAGCTTTCGGTTCATAAACCAAAAGGATAGGGTGCCATAGTTGTTTGCAGATCATTGTGTGGCAGTAGTTTGGCCTTATGAGGGATCTCAGAAGTCAGTTTTCCATGAAGGCTCAGTGCAGCTCAGATAGCTGCTTGTGTGTGTGTGTGTGTGTGTGTGTGTGTGTGTGTGTGTGTGTGTGTGTGTAAATTTAAAGCCCAGCGAGTGCATTAGGTTTTCTCGAGCATCATTCACTACTGGTAATTAGGAACAGCTTTTCTGTGACAAAAAGTGAGCCCTCGGGGGTCTTAAGTGTTTAGTTATTTATTGCTTATGATAACTAAATAAAAGTCCCCTTCCCTACTGCTCGTACCTCTCTTATTCATCTCTGACAGGTAGGTGGTTTTGTATGTATTGAATGTGACTGAACTCCTCTCTAACTTATACTCACAATAATATTCTGCACGAGATGCGATTCTGCCGAATGCACAATAAAGGGCTTTTAGGGTGATAGAGCACACACAGAATATACACCCCCCAAAATATAGAAATAGTTTATTTGCCAAATCATTCCCTCCTCTGACATTGATGTCACTAAAAGATAAGGTGAGTATAAAAGCTATTTATTAATGATAGAACATAATAAAAACAAACAAAAAAATAACTGCTACAGAAGAGGGGAACTAACTGGTATGGGGAAGCAACCTGGAGAAAGTAGATTGAAAAGTTAGGGGCTAATTGTGGCGATGATAACATCTTCACCCTTGAAAAAGGTTTCCATGAAACAAAGCAAAACACCAAACCCACTGCCACGGACTCGGTGCCCCTGATAGTGACAATCTGTATAGGAGCAGTGGGTGGCTTGGAACTGCTGACCTTGTGGTTAGAAGTCCAGTGCTTACCCATAGTAGGGTCACCAGGGCTCTTTTAATCAGCAGAGCTTAATCTGAGATTCACAAACTCCTAGAAGATCAAACAATCTGAAACTGTTATACGTAAAATAATGCCTTCCGTGCTTTTTTCTAAGTAGAGGATTCATAGCTTTTATCAGAGGCCCAAACATGTCTACCATCTAAAATTTGTCAAAACCAGTGCTATTGAAGGACAAAGCATTCGTTTAGTCAACAAACATTAATTAACTAGAAACCTTGCTAGACGTATACAAAATCCAGAAGCCAAACAAGATTTGGGACTTACATTCAAGTTGAGGAAACAGACCATAAGCAAGAAAACAAATAAATAACAGATTAATCTTTTATGAAGATCATTTTATTGGAGGCTAAGGTGTTCGGGGGTCTCGGTTGGCCTGTAGGTTCAGTAACAGTCAGTCTGGGCCAACTTAGTGGATCCATTTTTGAGCTATGTTTGCTTCAGTTCCAAACGTCATCCTGGCACCCTGGGCACGAGTAGTTCAAACCATGTCTGTCATCTGCTTTGTTATCCCCTGAGCATCCTTTATGCACCAACTCTGCTGTAAGGGTCTAGCTGATAATTGAGAACCACTTACAATTTTGTTAACGGAGTAGAATGCCTTTTTTTTTTTTTTTTAAGCCTAACTGAAATCGTAGCCTAAGTTACTGTCCTTTCATTAAGACTCCAGCACACTGATTAGAAGAAATGAATATAAATTCTCCAAGTTGCCTTTGGATTTTGCAAGACTCTAGCATACAATTGGCTATTGTTTCAAAGCTAAACATTCTTTTTAAAAATACTAGAATAAATACTGTTCAAATGCTGGAGTCGGCCTAAAAGAATAAGAACCCTCCCCTCCCCCACTCCCCCCACTCCATTCTTGGAGTCTTTATCATTGTGATTTGCTAATGCATATGAGTTTGTTTGGATTTTTCTTGTGTTGCTAATCGCAGAGCTGATCAGAGCAGTTTAGAATTTGTCACACACCGCTACCCTTCCTGACAGATGCATGCATTGTAGATGTGTGCGTTGTAGGACGTACATGAACCTTTCATCCTGAGAATGTCAAATCCCTTAGAACAAGTCGATTTTGTTAGTTTTGTTTATCATTTTGTTTCAATCCAATGATAACTTTTTAGAGGTGCTAACAACTTTTTTATTGTGAATTAGGTAGGGTTTACTTTTCAGATAATCAGTTTTGTACTCAACTGTTTAAACTACTCATCAACCCCCTCGATAACTACCCGCCCCTTTGATTTCTCTTCTCTCTTGTGGATTACTTGCCATGCACCTAAGTCAAGCCTGTCAAGCTCATGGCTTCGTCTTCCCTTTCCTTCATCCCCAGGGAAACCTCCAAAGTCTGTCCCCTTTGGTATGAAAATCTATGTCTTTTCCCCCCTTTATAACAGTGGTTTCAGAACCTATTGTCCTTTTGTTATTGACCAGTTGCACTCAGCGTAAGAGTGTCCAGGCCTCTGCATGCCAGGAGGAGCTTCATGCTGTCTGACAGTCGTGTTTCCCGCCCTCCTTTAGGGATGCGAAGTCTTCCGCGATGTGTGTGCACCAACGTCTTAGTTAGCTTTTTAGAATGACCTGATGACTGGTGTTTTGCACAGTCTCGGGGCTTTTGTCACTCAGAATTTAGGACACTTGAGGTGATGAAAATGTGAATATTCTAGAATTGTTTAGTTCTACAACAATTGAACATTTTACACTGTGAAAAATTTTGTCTGAGAGATATATATTCATGCCAATATAAACCTTCTACTGTATAGTTAGTTATGTAAAGCATGTTTTGAAATTCTTAAGAAAATCCTTCATAAGTAGCAATATTGTCTGAATAATAATCTTTAAATCTCTCTTTTAAAAACCCGTTCTTTCTTTCTTTTTTTAGATTACCTACACATTGCTTCTTTTGTCATCATTATATTTAAGTCATTTGGGAATAGTTATAGATTCATGAGAATTCTTTTTAAGTTCATTGTTCCCTTGGACCCCAATCCAGTTTCATTCATCTTGCGTAACCATAGCACTGTATCAGAACTAGCAGACTGGCATGGATACAGCCTACAGAGCTTATTCAGGTTTTACCAGTCATATTTGTATTCGTTTACACATGTGTGCCTATGCAATTTTATCACATGTATAGATTTTCTTAACCATCAACACAATTAAGATACAAAACTGGCCCTGCATCACCAGGCTCCCCCCCACACTAACCCTTTATAGCCATACGCATTCCTGACCCCCCAGTCCCTATCTCTTGGCAACAATTGATTGGTTCTCCACCTCTTTAATTTAGTTATTTTGAGAGTGTTATATAAAAGGAGTAGTAGATTATATAATTCTTTGAGATTGGCTTTTTTTTAAATCAGTATAATTCCCCCAGGAGAGTCATTCAAGTTGTTTTGTTAATCAATCGTTGGTTTCTTTTTATTGATGAATAGCATTCCATAGGGTGGGCGTGCTACAATTTATTTACACATTCATCCATTGAACTCCATCTTCATATGCTTTAATATTTAT